CGCTCTGCCAGGCCAGAGAGCAGGCAGAAGGCGGAAGCCAATTAAAAAGCTGGTTAAACTATTCCTGGACCTCGAGACCAGAGACACTTCATAGGACATACCCTACCCATACTCCAAGAGGACCGCACCACATTTGATGGGGCTCAAAGTAGGAGGCAACTAATCTTGGAAATATTTTTTTTTTTACAGAGGCACGGCAAAGCCTGGCAAGCTACCCGTGATGTATTCAATATGCCAAACACAGTAACAACAAGTCTCAAAATGGAGACGTTACTGGGCCCGCTCGAGCAAATTGATGAACAATGGGAGGACAGTGATACAGTGATATATATGCAGATAAGGCTTAACTTTTAACAACATGTTAGTGATCTCTTATAGAAGGACTTAATGGCCCCTGGGTGAAATACAACAATCTTCACACTCTTTCCTCTAAGGGATATGTTTTTGGAGCATTTTCAGCGGTTTTTCATAACAAACAATAAAAAACATATCATTTCGATTCTGCTTTGGGATAAAGATTGGGGTTCAGGATGAAAACATCCGAAATATGGTTTGGGAAGGTGTCATGGTGGTGGGATTGGTGTCTGAATATTAAATGTAACCAAATATTGTAAACTACTTTATAAAATAAAAAAAATTAAAATTAAAGCTGGTTTAGGGCCTGGAGCGACAGCACAGCGGGTAGGACGTTTGCCTTGCACACAGCCAACCAGGGTTCAATTCCTAGCATCCCATATAGTTTCCCAAGCACTGCCAGGAGTAATTCCTGAGTGCAGAGCCAGGAGTAACCGCTGTGCATCGCTGGGTGTGACCCAAAAAGCAAAAATAAATAAATAAATAAAAATTAAAAAATAAAAGCTCCTTAATAATGAATAAATAAATGCACTGGGCAATTCAAATTATTTTGGTCAAAGGCAAAAGGTTTTAATTTCTTACATAATATACCACAGATAAAATAAGAAGAAAATCCCATGATCTGCCCAGTTGACTGCCTGCTGGCTTCAGAGCAGCTTTTCTCCGCCTCTTCCCTCCACGGCCCCTTCCGACATGGTTTCCTTCCTGACCCCCATCCCCTCCGACTAGCTGCCCCCTGGTCCCTCGTCACGATCCCCCATGGACGATTTACATCTGTGGCCACTCTGGAATTTCCTGGGAATGAGAGGGAGCTGTACAGCCCTCGACGAAGAAAAGCTGCTGAAAAGGCCCTAAAGACCACCCCGAGCGCCTCCTGTAGGGGCTGGTTAAACCAACAACAACACTACGTGCAGGGCACCAGTGGATACTCACCACCAGTGAACGTTACAGAAAGGTTTTCAGGAGGGGCCGGAGCAACAGTACAGTGGGGAGGCGCTTGCCTTGCACTCGGCCAACCCGAGTTTGATCCCCAGCATCCCATAGGGTCCTCTGAGCACTGTCAGGAGTGAGTAATCCTGAGTGCAGAGCCAGGAGCAACCCCTGAGCATTGCTGGGTGTGGCCCAAATTTTAAAAAATAAAATAAGGGGCCAGAGCGACAGTACAGCAGGGAGGGCGTTTGCCTTGCATGTGAATGACCTGGGTTCGATTCCCAGCATCCCATATGGTCCCCTGAGCATTGCCAAGAGTAATTCCTGAGTGCAGAGCCAGGAGTAACCCCTGTGCATCACTAGGTCACTGTCACTGTCCTCCCGTTGTTCATCGATTTGCTTGAGCGGGTCCAGTAACGTCTCCATTGTGAGACTTGTTGTTACTGTGTTTGGCATATCGAATATGTCACAGGGAGCTTGCCAGGCTTTGCCATGCGGGCGAGATACTCTTGGTAGCTTGCTGGGCTCTCCGAGAGGGATGGAGAAATTGAACCCAGCTTGGCTGGGCCAGCCGCGTACAAGGCAAACGCCCTACCGCTGTGCTATGGCTCCAGCTGCATCACTGGGTGTGACCCAAAAAAACAAACAAAATAAAAAATAAATAAAAATGTAAAAAAAAATTTTTAAAATAATAAAGTTTTAAGGCACCAGAACAGTGCCTGTGAAGGCCACAGTTGCCACATCCGCTGTCAGGGAAACGCAGGCATGAGAAAGGAAGCCCCAGAGGAAAGCAAAGTGCCTGCCCTGCAGAGTCGCCCACTGAACAAACAAGTGGCGCCCGCTCCCAGGAGGAAGCCAAAAGTTATTGTCCCTCCTCGGTTCTGGCTTGGGGCTTGGGGCCAGGACTGACTCCAGGGAGCCGGGGAGCCAACCCAGATCGACCCCGTGCCAGGCAAGCGCCCTCCCCTCCGGACCATCACTCCCACACCTCCTCCTTATTTGGATTTTTATTTCTGTTTTTTTTTTTTCTCTATTTGCTACATTTCACGGTGTCAGGAATTGGACCCAGGGTCTCCTACATGCCAGGCCAGGGCTTGACCGCTGAGCGACATTCGACCCATAGTCACGGAATCCAATGCCTGTGTGTGCACACAACTCTCTCTCACACGCAGAGTCGATTTCTAGTTAGGAAAGTTGGGGGTTGGAGGGGGAGGCAGCGCCATAGCACAGCAGGTAGGGGGCTTGCCTGGCTCATGGCTGACCCGGGTTCAATCTCTGGCACCCCACAGGGTCCGCTGAGTATCGCCCAAGAGAAATCCTTGAGTGCAGAGCCGGGAGTTACCCCTGGGCATCACCATGTGTGGCCCCAAAACCAAAATAAATAAATAAATAATTGGGGAGGGGAAGTCACACAACAAAACTTATTTTATTTTGATAAACTAAAATTTCCGACCGTGAGCAGGCAGCCTGGCAGCTACTTCTTTTTTTCTTTTTTTTTTTTTTGCATTTTGGGTCACACCCAGCGATGCACAGGGGTTACTCCTGGCGGTGCTCAGGGGGACCCTTTGGGATGCTAGGGGTCGAAGCCGGGTCGGCCGCGTGCAAGGCAAATGCCCTACCCGCTGTGCTGTCTCTCCAGCCCCTGGCAACTACTATTGTGTGGCCAGGAGCAGAGGCTGCTCGATCCCCGTGGAGACCAGCACACACGCGGCCTCCACCCCCCCATCACCAGCTCTCCCCGACCGGGTCTTACCCCCACCACCCCCACCCCAGGGGCCCACAGAGGCGCCCTCGGCTCACCATGCAAGCCCTTTGCTTTCCGTGCTTTCCCCATCTTGCTGGCGATGAAGTCCTGGTTCCATTCCTCCTTGTTGTAACTGCTCTGCTCCGACAGCCTCCGCTGATGCACAACCAGGTTTCTCACGTCTGGAAGGCAGGAGAGGAAGGACTCCTGGCGGCCCCCACTGAGTACCTTTGTCACACCCCACTCAGGTGACAATCACTCCGCTGGCCGGGCCAGGGTCCTGCCCTCCCACTTCACAGCGTCCGACGCGCCAGCCCCAGCTGACCCCTTCCCAGTAATGCCATCGTAGACTTAACTTCCGGTGCCCTCGAGAGCATGCTCCCTGGAAGGCGGGCACTGCCTCTTCCCTCGGTACAACCCAGGGAGCTGGCATTTAAGAGACTCGGGAGGGAACCGGGATGCCAGCCAGCCCGAAGCCCCCGTCTCAGCCGGGAGACACCCCCTCCTTGTCTCTCTCTTCAGATGGGGCAGGGCGGCTGCAGGCAGTTAGAGGATGAGAGGGAGTGAGTGGTGAGAGCAAGTTATAAGCAAGGGGGCCAGAGAGATAGCACAGTGGATAGTGCACTTGCCTGGCACGCAGCTGACCCGGGTTCAATCCCTGACATCCCATCTGATCCCCTGAGCACCTCCAGGAGTAAGTCCTGAGTGCAGAGCCAGGAGAAACCCTTGAGCACCGCTGGGTGTGACCCTCCCAAACAAACAAAAAATATTAGATAAGAAAGAGGTAGGGACAGCCTAATCAGGGGCAGAATAAATAGCAGTACTCCAACATTAAAAAAAAAAAAGAGGTAGGGGGAAACTTGTCAAATTTCAGAGGGGAGGCTGTACCCCTCAGTTTGGCGCTCCAAGAAGGCAAAGTATAGTGTCCGCAGGTACCAGGAGACGAACGGGATGGGACAGATGAGAAGACCCTTTGCTCTGCATTCAGGAGGCCGCCTTGGTTCTGGACAGCCTGAGAGGCGTAGAGCAACCAAATTCTGGGCGACAGAACCAGGGCAGGGAAACTGGTCCCTGGGTTCAAGGCCCGGGGCTGGGGGGGCCTCAGGGGGTCGGTGCATAAACCCAGGGTACTAACGTCCCACGTCTGGTGCCCCAAGCACCACCAGGTATAGTCTGGGAGGCCCCAACATCTCCAGGTGGGGCTCAAGCGGTGACCTGTCAGGCCATCAGCCAAGTATTCTGGGAATGACCCCCAGCGGATGCTCCAGAGCCAGATTTAGGGGCAAATAAAAACTCACTCAAAATGAGATGCAGAAACGCCAGGGCGCCTGAGATCTAGGACGGGGCCAAAGCACTTGACTCGCAAATGACCACGCCAGGCGTGATCCCTAGCACCGCACAGGGTCCCCAGAATTCCGGAGGGCTCCGGCAGGAGTGCTCCATGAGTGCAGAGCCAAGGGTAAGCCCTGAACACCGCCAGGTGTGGCCCCCGAAGCAGATAAAGGCTGCAGTGATGCCCAGCTGGGAACCAGCTCAGGAGAAACAGGGGCTGCGGTTTCCAGAAGCCCGGCGAGGCGGGGTCAGGGGCTCCTCCCCGGCCTCCCAGGCCCAGGCGCTTTACTGATCTTGGTGCCCACAGCCCCTTTTCCAGGGCGCTTTCCTGACACCCCTGGACCCCACTACCCATGCAGAGCGGATGTTTCCCTCCAGCCCGGGCCCTGCACGCAGGAGTCTTGGCTTCAGACCAAGTTATTAAGTCTCCCAGAAGTTAACGCCTGAGCAGTGGTACAGTGGGGAGGACGCTCCCCCCATGTACAATTAAGAGTAATTCCTGAGTGCAGGGGCCAGGAGTAACCTCAGAGCATCACCAGATGTGACCCAAAAGGCCAGAAAGGGAAAAAAAAGTTTCCCAGAAACCTATTTTGTTTGTTTATTTATTTATTTATTTTTTGCTCTTTGGGTGACACCTGGCGATGCACAGGGGTTACTCCTGGCTCTGCACTCAGGAGTTACTCCTGGCAGTTCTCAGGGGACCATACAGGATGCTGGGAATCAAACCCAGGTCAGCCGTGTGCAAGGCAAACGCCCTACCCGCTCGCTGTGCTATCTCTCCAGCCCAAAAGCCTGTTTTCTTTTTGCTTTAGTTTTTGACCACACCTGGCAGTGCTCAGGGCTGACTCCTGGCTCTGTGCTCAAGGATCACTCCTGCTAGTGCTCGTGCCGGGGATCGAACCCAGGTCAGCTGCGTGCAAGGCAAGCGCCCTCCCCCTGTGCTAGGGTCTGACCCCAAGCCCCGTTTTCTCAGGAAGGAGGCCCAAAGTCAACAGGGTCCAGAGAGCGTGGGAAGGTGCCTCGGTCAGCAGTCGGGCCTAAGAGGACACAGGACTGAGTTCAGCTGACTTCAAAGCCCGGCTCTTTCCACACACCACCCCCCACCCCCCGCCCCGTTCCCTGAGGAGAGTTCAAAGGAAACTTTCCATCACTGGTGCCACAGAAGGACAAGCCAGAATGATCTAGAAAGACTGTGTGGAAATGTTAACACGCGTAGGGCAGGCAGCGGAATTTTGTTTTCTCTTTTGCCTGAGATTCCCTAGTCCCTACTTCCCACCCCCACCGGAGCACTGTCTAGGGAGCAGGCTGGTGGAGAGTGGACACTGGCCCCGCCCGCACTTGGCCATGCTCGTCCTGGAGCCAGATCGACCCCTGAGGCAGACACCAGCAGGAAATGAGGACTCGACCTCTATCCGGAGGAGAAGGTTCTTCCCACTGAAAGCCAAACGGCCTGACTTACCGAAAGCAGACAGATCTTCCGTATACCCCGAGGCCTTGAGGCGGTAATACCTGACCTTCCTCGCGACTTTGTCTTTCGTGTCCCAGATTTTCATATTGATTTTGTAAAAAATGATTTTCTTTAGGAATTCCTTTGTCACCTGGATGTTAAAGTTTTGGGTCCAGGTCACCCAGATTTTGTCTCCTTCTATCCACGGCTTCACGGTCTGTGACGATGGAGGCGAGAGGGCAGGGCAGGTCAGCAGCCGGAGACCCCTGCGGGCCGTGAACCTGCACCCCACTCGCTCCCACCTCCCTCTGGGGCTGGGGGTCACCGCCTGGCCCCTCTGCCACATCCCGGGGCTCCTCAGAATAAAGACAAATCAAAGCTGGGGGTCGGGGAGATGGAGCAAAGAGCCGAGTGCAGGCTTGGCATGTCAGAGGCCCGGGCCTGATCCCTGGCACCGCCCGGTCCCCTGGGCACCACCAGGAGCGATCCCCAAACACTGAGTGGGCCATAGCCCCCAAGCACCTCCGTGTGACGCCGAAACAAACAATAAAGACAAAGCGAGGACTTGTAATGTTTGTAATGTGGCTAGGAAGCCTGTGCCCAGCACTGGACAGCAGGCAGGGGTGTCCCGGGATGCACTGGCCCCCGGAGCCCTGCAGAGACGCCTGAGACACCCAAGAAACTGGATAAAAAGATTGAAATAAGGGAGTCAGAGCGACAGTCCAGCCAGCAGGGCGCTTGCATGCAGCCCACCCAGATCCGATTCCCTGCATCCCAGATCCGGTTCCCAGGTCCGATTGCCGGTTTCCCCGAGCCCACCAGGAGTGATCCCTGAGAGCAGAGCCGGGACACGGCTGGGTGTGGTCCCAACCCCACTTCACGGCCTTCCAGAAACAGGCAACATGGAAAGTCATGCCATGGGTACATCAGCAAGTGGTGTGGGCATTGCCGTTTGTATAAAGTAAGCCACATCTGCGTGAGAGCCACCGGTGGCGCGTGCAAGCACCAGCATGTTAAGTCGGTGCAGTCCCTCCCCTTCCTGGGCCTGGGGTGGGGCCTGGGAGCCAGAACGTCCAGCAAGTCTCCAGGGCAAGGGGGTTCATGGAGCCCCCTCATTCCTCAACGATGACCCAGGTGCCCGCACACACTCGCCTTCACTCCTGAGTCCATGAACACTTTGGTCAGGGTGGGGAACACCACCATGTCCACCTTCCTGGGCTCCTCGTCGTCCGGGAGGAGGAAATACTCAATGTGGTAGTAACGACGGGCCTTGGAGCTGGCTTTCTCGGAGGTGGACAATTTCTTAGACCTTTCCGTAGAACTTCCGGTATACGTTCTTCTAGAATCTAGAAGACAAGGAGTTCCGGGTCTAGTCTGCTGCTCCCAGAAGAAGGCGTCTGTCCAGCACTCCCGGGGCACTGTAGGGACCACTCCCGTGGGCTGACCTGGCTGGCCTGAGCGGGTGCAGGGACCCACGGATACTGGACACCAGGGGGCGCTGTTGCAGAGCAGGCTTTCACCCGCACGCAGCCGCGGTTCCTCCCCTGCCTTTGCCTCTCAAAGGTAACAATGGTTTTTGTTTGTTTGCTTTGGCTTTTTGGGTCACACCTGGTGATGCACAGGGGTTACTCCTGGCTCTGCACTCAGGAGTTACTCCTGGCGGTGCTCGGGGGACCATATGGGATGCTGGGAATCGAACCCGGGTCGGCCTCGTGCAAGGCAAATGCCCTCTTCGCTGTGCTATCACTCCAGCCCCAAGAGTTTTTTCTTGTAAAGGACCAATGATGTGAGCTGTGTGATTCCAGCCTCCCGGACAAGCCTGGGAAGTAGAACAGGGAAGAAGCTGGCCAACACCCAGAGCCTCACAGGCGAAGCTCCGGGATGTGGAGCAAACAGGGGTGCAAGGAGGGTGCAGAGGCGGAGGGTCCCCCAGCCTGGTCTGGACCTTGAGCCCAACTCTCTGGGTTGTGCTTTTCACGCCCTCAAAGTGACAGGCGCCCCAAAAATGACCATCCAGGTTTTATCCTGTGAAGTATGGCAAACCGGTCTGTGAGCCTTGCAGACACATCTCCATCTCTGCCAGCTGTGCCCCTGCTCAGGGCTGTGATTCTGCCCCATACTGCTGGCGTGCTTATGACGACAACATTACTTAAATAACCTGCTCATGCAGGAATGAGGCTTGGAGGCATTGAGGGTGCAGAGGTCAAGGGACATTTACGAGGAAATATTTGACAGGACACTCAGCATTGAGTCCTGCTGTGACAGAGCTGTAGAGTTTGCTTTTCTTCAGGATTAGAGACTGAAACACTATCTACTTAGAGAAGACTAGAACTCTTCATACGTTTCGTTCCATGAGGTAACAGCAGTCAGTGTTAAAACACAGAAATAGATTTGGAAACCCAACTACAAGCTATTGTAAAAAGCTATAGATTGTTTTCATCAATAAAATAATGAAGAATTGAAAACATGGGGCTAGAGCAATAGCACAGAGGGTAGGGCGTTTGCCTTGCACGCGGCGAACCTGGGTTCGATTCCCAGCATCACATATGGTCCCCTGAGCACCGCCAGGGGTAATTCCTGAGTGCAGAGCCAGGAGTAACCCCTGTGCATTGCTGGGTGTGACCCAAAAAGCAAAAAAAAAAAAAAAAAAAAAAAGAATTGAAAACAATATGGCAAGCACAGGACTGGAGAGGTAGTACAGTGGGTCGGGTGACCTGGGCTCGATCCTCAGCACCCCCAAATGGTCCCCAGAGCACTGCCAGGAGTGATCCCTGAGTGCAAAGCCAGAGTAACCCCTGAGCACCGCCAGGTGTGGCCCAAAAGCCAGCTGGTAGGCTGCCCATCCTGCACCTGGCCATCTGGAATCACATATGGTCCCCCAAGCACCGCCAGGAGTGATCCCTGAGCACAGACACAGGAGTAAGCTCATAGCACTGCTGGGTGTGGTCCAAAAAAACCACCACCAACCAAAATATGACAACTTCCATATTCCAAAGCTGCAGTTTTTCCATTTCAAGTTAATTCCCAGGAGACACTTCAAGAGAATGAAAGATAAGGCTGACCTTAAAGCCAGGGGTCTGGGGGCGGGGGTGGGACACTGGGCTGTTGGTAATTCCTGGTATCTTTTGGGGGCTGCTGGTACTTCCAGGTATCTTTTTTCCAGGCTTGTTTGTGTGATATCAATAGACTGGAGATAAAAAGGGGTCATTCTAGATGGGGAGGTGGCATTTAGTGGCCGAAAGCTGTTTGTCAAGAAGATGACCAGTGTCCAGCCTGACTCATACACCAAACCAGACACCTCCAAAAGACGTGGCTTCAGTGTTACCAGTCAGGCTGCAGCTGACCATCCTGAAGGATGGTTTACATGGAAGAAAAAAAAAAGATGAGGGGCTGGAGAGATGGCATAGCAGGTAGGATGCTTGCCTTACATAACAATGACCTGGGTTTGATCCCTGGCACCACAAAAGGTCCCCTGAGCAAACCATGAGTGAGAGGAGGAGGAGGAGGAGGAGGAAGAGAAGGAGGAGGAGGAGGAGGAGGGGAGGGGGAGGAGAGCGAGGAAGGGGAGGAGGGGGAGGAGGAGGAGGAAGAGGAGGGGGAGGAGGGGGAGGGGGGCGAGGGAGGGGTCCACCACTGGGCATGAGTCAGCTTTTTGCAACTTCACCCCTGCACCCCCGACTCCCCAAAGGTTTACAAGGGTTTTCTGGGATTAGAAAAAGCTCAGACAGACTGGCCTGTGGCTTACAGTTGCGAGGGTGTGACACCCTCTCGCCTGAGAGCTGCCAGGGGCTTTTTTTTTGGCTCTGATCGGACCAGAGCAGAACTTGAGGAATTCTCTGGCCCTGGCTACACAGTACTGGCCAGTGGGTGCACTGCCCAGTCAATCTTGGCTTCTTGCCTCCTGGCGCTTCATAACCACACCAATGTAAAAAACACACCCAATGACGTTTCTCCACCATTTCCTGCCCAGGCCACTAGGGGGCTCTCTATGCGCCCCAATTGCGCATGCGCTCGGTCCTCCCTCATGCATATGTATGAAGTTCCTGAAGAACGACTAGAATATGTATAAGCTGTGATGTCACTCCACCTCTGCTGGGCAAAAAAAAAAAAAGATCTCTGTCTCTCTCTTCCTCCTCTCTCTGTCTCTCTGTCTCTGTCTGTCTCTCTCCCTCTTTCTCTCACCTATTCACTCATTCCTGTGCTTTTTTGAAAATGACATCATCATAGCCCTGGGTTCAATTCTGGCACCGCAAATTTAAAAATAAGGCAAATCAGAGAGTGGAATATGTGTCTCTGCCTAAATAATGCGACTTGCCTCTGTCAATAAGATGTCACCAGGCAGGCAGACCTGCTCACTTTTCAGAGAACTTGCCTGGGCGCCTTCTCCCACCCACCTCTTGTCCCCTCCTGAAACAAAGGGGATAACAAGGGGACTGGGGGACTGGGGCAGGCCAACGGCCCACTAGCCCAGAGAACACAACATCCATTTGGAACCATTCAGTGTCGGTTTGGTTTTGTCGCATGGCATTTTTGTGGTTTGGTTGACTGACGTGCTTTAAGTTCTGTACCCGTAGGCTCAGAAACATTCATTCCATTATACATATCCATATCTGTATCTATATACATATATCTGAGAATCTAAACCAGGAATTAGGCAACAATGCGCCAGCTTATGAAAACCACTGTTTTCAACACTGGCTGCTCAATTGTAGAGACAGGAAATACCACCAACTACTTGGGAGAGTTGAAGGGTGAAGTACATGAAGCACCCAAAGCCTCTGGCTTGCTTGGCTTCAGGAGCGCCCCGAAACTACAGTTTATTTAAAAAAAAATCGGAGAGCGAATAAAAGTTGGCTGGGGGCCAGGGCACAGGACAGCGGGGAGAGCATTTGCCTTGCATGCGGACAACCCAGGTTCGATCTCTGGCATCCCATATGGTTCCCCCAAACCCCACCAGGATGATCCCTGAGTGCGGAGCCAGGAGTAACCCCTGAGCATTGCAAGGTGTGGTGAAAAAGGAAAGAAAGAAAGAAAGAAAGAAAGAAAGAAAGAAAGAAAGAAAGAAAGAGAAAGGATTTAGGGAGGAAAGGAAGAAACAAAGAAAGAAAAAAATGGCTGGAGTATATGCTTTGCATGTAGGAAGCCCAGGTTTGATCCTGGACACCCCCCCCCCCCCACCCAAGCACCAAGAACCACCCAAGCACAGAGCTGGGAGAAACCCTTGAGCACTGCGAGGTGCACCTCCAAAACAAAAGAAATGGGGGCGTCCTGAGAAGCAGAGGACACGCCTGACGATCTTCGGCCTGCCGGGCAGACAGTACTCAGGCCTGGTGATCCAGCTGTGCTGGGGGCCACCAGGGCTACTCCCAGCAGTGCTCCTGGGGTCAGCAGTGCCAGAGACGGGACTCAGTCTCTGTGCCCGCGAGGCAGTCCCCTCTGGCCTCCGAGCTACCTCCTGGTCCCCTAAATGCGTTTTCTTTCCACTTTCTGCTAGAGGCACCCAGTGCACATTCTCTGGGCTCCGGGAGAAGGTGCCCAGGGCAGCCCCCTTTGTGTGGAGGCCTGGGAAAGGCCGCACTGACCTGGGTACGTCTGGAAGGCCAGGGAGAAGAGCAGCATGCAGGGGATGACCTGGGGCACGTCGCTGCTGGTGGCGCCCTCGGGGCTTTCTGAGGAGGAGCCGCTCTTGCTGCAGGGCGGAGGTTCCGAGCCCGACTCCAGGGCGCAGAACTTGGCCTGCAGGTCATCCTCCAGGCCACTCTCGCCATCGGACTGCAGGACATCGACCTGGTCCAGCCTCTCCCCGTCCTCCTCCGCCCAGGAACCCACGGACATGCTCTCCTAACAGGGACGAGAGAGAGCACTGCAGCCACTTCCTTTGCACGTGCCCGATGGGGTGGGGGGAACCGATGGGGAAGACCCTCTCCACGCGCCCCCCTGCCCCTGCACTGTCCAGACCAGCTGGCCGAGGCCTGGGACAGGACACGAACGAAGCTGAGAGCAGTGCTCAGGGAAATAACGTTTTTCCGGAGTCTCACCTCCCCCTCCCTGGCCGCCTTAGCCGCCCACCTTAGGATGCAGCTTCTGGAAGACCTGCTCCAGGCGAGCCCAGTTCTCCGGGAAACTCCCCCAGGTGAGGGCGGAAATCTAAAGGTGGGCTGTGTTTGGGCCAGAGCCTGGGGTGGGGGTAAAGCGGGCACCCCCACAAGGCAGGACAGGGAGGAACAATGCGTGCTGGGCTCTGGGCACCAACTCCGGGGTTCAAGGACGCCGAGAAAGCAGGGGAAGGGGGCATGGCCTCCTCCAGGTGCCAGTGGTACCTATGAGCAGATGCGCGCGGGGCAGCACCGGCCCAGGTGCGGCCTCCGTCCTCTCCCAAGCCCGCTGCACCGCCGCCTCGCAGAGGCCAGCAGGACTCAACCGTGTGACGCTCCGACGGTTGCCAGGAGACGGGCTCCCCGAGGGGCGGGGCTCCCGGAGGCGGGACTTCCGCCTGGACTCTGTCAAGTTGCTTTCCTTCATTCGTTCACTCACAGCTTCACCTGTTACTGCGGTGGGGCTGGAGCAATAGCACAGCGGGTGGGGCGTTTGCCTTGCACGCGGCCGACCCGGGTTCGATTCCCAGCATCCCATAGGGTCCCCTGAGCACCGCCAGGAGTAATTCCTGAGTAGCCCCTGTGCATCACCGGGTGTGACCCAAAAACCAAAAAAAAAAAAAAAAAATTAAGCGGTTCCTGCGGTTCTCCAAGCCCTTCACCTGGCTGGTTCGGCCCGTAACATCGACAAGCCCCCCCACCTCCCACTTGCCAAGCCCCCACCTCCCACTCCCTGGTGAAGCGAAATAACAAATTTTGCAGACCGTCCCACCCGGCACCCAATCTCTCTCACGGAGACTTTCCGCTCCTGCCCTGCTTAAAGCAGCAGGGGAGTTGGGTCAATTGATAGCACAGCAGGTGGGGTGCGGGTCCCCCAGTGCAGAGCCAGGAGGAGGCCCTGAGCACCGCCAGGTAATGCACACAGTCCTATGTACTTTGTACATGAGAGTTCTACTTAGTGAACGCAGGCGCCAACTTGGGAGGAAACGAGGACTCGGAGAGGCAGAGCAATAGCAGTGGATTAAAATCTAGTCTCCGAAGCCTGAGTGACCTGACACCCTACCCACCCCACACCTTCCAACCCGTAGCTCTGGTTCCTGCCCTGCCGCCCGCCACACTCCTACCACCAAACCAGAGTGGGCTGTGGAGGAGTTAAGCGCAGCCTTCATGGAAAGATGAGGAGAACTGAACCCTGGGGCCTGCCAGGCGTGCCAGCGAGGGAAGGCCTTGAATGGGGCCAGAGCGATAGCACACAGTCAACCTGGGTTTGATCCCTGGCATCCCATTTGTTTCCTGAGCACCGCCAGGAGTGATCCCTGAGAGCCTGGAGTAACCCCTGAGCATCGCTGGGTGTGATCAAAAGGGGGGGGGGGGAGGCAGAGAAAGAAATATCTGGGCAAAGGCCCCTGGGGTGGAAACAAAGACAAGTTCAGATATGGAACCGTGAGGCTGGCAAGGCAGAGATGACCCCAGAAGGCAGGACCAGCCCGGGATGGAGTGAAGGCCAAAGGGAGCAGCATCAGCTTTCGGGCCGGTCCAAGAGGACAGAGGCCAGGGTGTCAGATGATGCCTCGAGCCTGCTTCTCATCTCCACCAGTGGGGGTTCTTATCTCCACCCAGTGGGGCTCTGAGCTGTGAGAGAACCCGCCCTAGATGTGGCAGACGGAGCTGGGCTCAGTTCCCTGCGTCTAACTGTCTGCACCCTAGAGCCCGTTGTAGGCAGTCCGTTGTAGAGCGCTGTCTGCTCCTGGAGCCCTCGGGTTCAGTCTTAAAAAAACAAAACAAAACAAAACCTCCCTGAGCACTGAGAACAGCTGTGAGGGGAGGTGGCCACTGGCCACAGGAGGGAGGACTCGGACTCCCGCCTCCCCGGCCTGCCTCCCCCCCCACCAGCCTGGATACTGTGACCCCAAAGCAGGATGTGTTCATGACACAGGTTTGGTGGGAGAGGCCGGTCAAGAGGCCACACAGGGCTGGAGCTATAGAGCAGGCAGGCCACTTGCCTTGCGCGTAGCCGACCCAGGTCCCATCCCCGGCATCCCATATGGTCCCTGAGTACCGCCAGGAGTGATTCCTGAGCATCACCGGGTGTGGCCCCCAAACAAAACAGAAAACCAAACAAACAAACAGGAGGCCACACCGGCTCCCTCCTGGGGCCAAGAGAGGTCAGAGCACCACACTGAGCCTGCAAGCCCACCACTCCCAGCTGGTCGCCCCCAAGAAGGGCCCCTGATTTTTTACCTGGCAGAGGCCAACCACTTCCACATGCACGGGAAGTTCTGGGTGCGAGCTGCCCTGGTCCTGGAGGGCCAGAATCACATCGGGAACAGGCCAAACAAAACTTATCCCGAGGTTCCACACCTGGGGGGTCATTCCTCAGGGGGGCAACCCGGGAAAGTCAATCTCCTCAGTGCACAGCCTCCCCTATGGACCCTGTGATGGTGAGGCCACATGCCTCCTTTGGGGGTTCTCATCCCCCTCAGGGAAACCAGAGCAGACATTTGTAAACACTTTGCCATTTGTAACCATGGCAGGGTGACGCTATGTAGTGACTTCTGAGGGCAGGTCAGACAAATGCCACAAGCTTTTGTACAAGGTGGGAGCCCCCCCCCCCCGCTGTCTCCCCCACATGCCCACCAGCCTCCCTCAGCAGACACAGAGAAGCAGGCTGGAGGCATCATCTAACATGTGGAGCAGAAACCAGTGGTTTCTACTCAGCCCTCCCCGCCTTGACGGTCTGTAACCACAGGATGGTCCTTCTGCCTTCCTTTTAGCTTTCTCTTTTGGGCCATTCTAGGCAGTGCCAGGGGGACAGGCTCCAACCCTCCAAGTCACCTTGCAAGACCTCTTTTGTTGTAATCTGCATCTCTGTTAATCTGTTGTAACCTGATGAGTAATTGGAACAGAGCGTGTATTTTATTTTATTTTTTTCCAATTTTTTATTTTATTTTTTTAGATTGAAACTTATTTAAAAAAGCTGTGGGGGTGGAGCAATAGCACAGCGGGTAGGGCGTTTGCCTTGCACGCGGCCAACCCAGGTTCGATTCCCAGCATCCCATATGGTCCCCTGAGCACCGCCAGGGGTAATTCCTGAGTGCATGAGCCAGGAGTAACCCCTATGCATCGCCAGGTATGACCCAAAAAGCCAAAAAAATTAAAAAATATTAATAAAAAATAAAAATAAGTTGTGAGGGGAGGGGCCGGAGCGAGAGTACAGCAGGCTGGGCATTTGTGTTGGACGCGGCCAACCTGGCTTTGATCCCTGAGCACCATCAGAAGCGATCCCTGAGTATAGAGTAAGGAGTAAGCGCCGAGCATCACCAAGTGTAGCAAAAGAAAGGAAGAAAGGAACAAAGAAGGAAGGAAGGAAGGAAGGAAGGAAGGAAAAGAAAAATGTGAGAGGAGTAAAAGGAAGAAGTACACGTTTGAAAGAGGCTTCTCCAGAGTAGAAATAAGCAAGCAAAGAAACAAGCACGCTGAAGCAGTAGCATAGCAGGTAAGGCACTTGCCTTGCATGTGGCTGACCTAGGTTTGATCCCCGGCATCCTCTGAGCACTGCCAGGAGTAATTATTGAGTGCAGAGCCAGGAGTAGCCCCGGGGCATTGCTAGGTGTGACCCAAAAAGCAAAACAGAAACAAAAAACACCCCCGTATGACTGTGCAATGTTAATCTCAATGAGGGTAGCACTGTAGCACTGTCCTCCCATTGTTCATCGAGTTGCTCGACTGGGCACCAGTAACATCTCCATCGTGAGACTCGTTGTTACTGTGTTTGGCATGTTAAATATGTCACGGGTAGCTTGCCAGGCTCTGCTGTGTGGGCGGGATACTCTCAGTAGCTTGCCGGGCTCTCCGAGAGGGGAGGAGGAATCGAACCCGGGTCAGCCGCATGCAAGGCAGACACCCTGCCTGCTGTGCTATTGCTCCAACCCTGCTATCACTCGATGAGGGTAAATTTTACTTTTGACATAAGTGAATCCACTTATTACGGGCTGGCAGTGTTTCAGATGGCAGATCTACTGGTCGTTCAGTTCCTTCCGTCTTCTGATGGCAGATTCGACTGTGACCGTAGAAGCGGTGTCGTTTGCCCAAGCGTCCCTGGTCGGCTGCATGCAAAGCAAACGCCCTCCACGCTGTACTACCGCTCCGGCCCCCATACGAGGTGTTTGGAAACACGGCTGGAGAGATGGGCTCTAGGGTAAGGCTCAGGGCATCACGGAGCAGGGAAGGTACAGCTGTGCCCCCCGCGACCCACTCAGGAGTCAGGTGGCTCCACATCCTCGCCCCAGTAAAGAAGCGTCAGGACTGGCCAGGTGGGAGCAAAGCTGTTTCTTTGTCACTGCTGCAGCACAGGCATCTCGGCCCTCGATGACCGTAAACAAGAGCGGCTTGCTCATTCTGTCATCAGAGGCCGTTCTTCTCTGGCGTTGCCTGCTCTGGGATGCAAAGCCCAAGGGAGTGCTATAAGCCGGGGCACCTCTGTTCCCTCCCAGGCTCCCTCCGTCCCTCAGCCCACAAATGAGGCACCTCACAGTTCAGAGAGAGAGGAGTCAAAGCTGCCCTCAGGCTAAGTTTACAGAGAGTGCCAGCGGCTCAGAAAGTGAGGATGACGGCAAAGAAATCTCCCTACAACAGCATTCCACCTATTTCTTCACCTCAATTTTTATTTTATTTCATTATTTATTTGTTTTTGCTTTTTGGGTCACACCTGGCGATGCACAGGGGTTACTCCTGGCTCTACACTCAGGAGTTACTCCTGGAAGTGCTCAGGGAACCATGTGGGATGCTGGGAATTGAACCTGGGTCGGCCGCGTGCAAGGCGAACGCCCTACCCGCTGTGCTATCTCTCCAGCCCCTCAATTTTTATTTTGTTTTGGGGGCACACCCAACAGTCTCAGGGATCACTCCTGGTGGTGCTTGGGGGACCATATGATGTGCTGAGGATCGAATCCTGGGTTGGCCGCATGCAAGACAGGCACCCTTCCTGCTGTGTTATCTCTCCAGGCCCATCTTCACCTCAAATTTAATAGGAGTCAATCCCCACTCTGAGAAAGCCACTCCTCTTGGGGGATTGGGGGTCATACCTGGCAGTGCTCAGGGTTACTTCCTAGCTCTGTGCTCAGCGAACATGCGGTGAGAGGGATGAAACTGGGGTTGGTCAGTTCTCTCTTTGGTCCCAAGTTCACTCTTTTTTTTTTAATATGGAATGCTTCACGAATTTGCGTGTCATCCTTGCGCAGGGGCCGTGCTAAGCTTCTCTGTATTGTTCCAATTTTAGTATATGTGCTGCCGAAGCGAGCACCCAAGTTCACTCTTTTTAAGTGTTGTTCCAGAAACACAGAGTCACATAACCACCATCAAGACCTAGACTGTTTCTATACAGCCCTCAAAGTTCTTTTCTGCACACGTTGCATGAAAAATGCCTGGAAATAACATTCATCAGGAGAACCCTCTGGCCCCCTTTTGTTGGCGGGATGGAGGAGTATTGGGGCGGGAGGAGTCTTGCTTTTTAGCATTTTCCTGGACCGTTTGAAGACACTTTGAACAATATACTATTTGACATGGTTCAAACACTGACTTCAGAAAATCATTTCTTTGCCAGGGCCTCCCCCTTCCCCACACAGATTCCCGCCCTCCCCCCTGCCCCCCAGATCAGACAAAAGAGCTGGCAGACCTCTGAGTTTGCTCACTTCAGACCTCAGACAAAACCTCGAGGGTCCCACGGGCATGCTTGGCGGGCGCCTGGTAACACCGCGGGGCAGGCGGGCCGGCGGGCCTGACAGTCACAATTGTGAATGCAGAATCCCCTGCCCCCAAGCCGCGGGGGGCAGAGGCCCAGCAAAGCTCCCAGACAAGCTATTCAGAGGTTTTCTTCTGTCCACCGCTGACTGGCCCAGCAAAGTTACAGCTCAAAGGACTCCTTTGCCCAGAGCTGTCAGCAGCTGCAGAAGGGCAAGGGAGGGTGTGGGGTGTGTGTGTGTGTGTGTGTGTGTGTGTGTGTGTGTGTGTGTGTGTGTGTGGTGAGGTGGGGGTGGGGGAGTACTCCCAGAATTAACTAGAAATCAGGGCAACTCCAAAGGCCAGAGCCAAGTTCCAAGTTCTGTTCTCAGGATACAGGCTTTTAGGCTCACAAGATTCTGTAATCCAGCCTTGAATGTGGCTGACCAGGTCCAGAATCTCGTATGGTCCCCTAAGTCCCACCAGGAGTGATCCTTTCCTGAAGAGTCAGGAGTAAACTCTGAGTACCACCAAATTAACAAATTAACAAAACAAAACAAAAACCTTAGATAAAAAGCCCTAGCTTCTTGGGGCTGGAGCGATATAGCACAGAGGGTAGGGATTTTGCCTTGCACGTGGCCGACCTGGGTTCGATTCCCAGAATCCCATCTGGTCCCCTGAGCACCGCCAGGAGTAATTCCTGGTGCAGAGCCAGGAGTGATCCCTGTGCATCACCAGGTGTGACCCAAAAAGGGCAAAAATAAATAAAGTGAATCTGTTCCTGTTTAAAAAAAAAGGGGGGCTGGAGAGATAGCACAGCGGGTAGGGCATTTGCCTTGCATGTGGACGACCCAGGTTCGACTCCCAGCGTCCCACATGGTCCCCTGAGAACCGCCACGAGTAACTCCTGAGTGCAGGGCCAGGAGTAACCCCTGTGCATCGCCAGGTGTGACTCAAAAAGCAATAACTAAATAAAAACCCTAGCTTCTGTGGTCCACTTTGGAGTGGGGGCGGGGACTGACTCTGATCGATTACCAATATTCACATCTCACCATCTCCAACACCACTTGTTAGGACCCCCTAAACCCACCAATGCCAGCTTGAGGCTGTTTTCCCTTTCGAAGTGGGCGCTGTTGTGCTGGTGGGCGCCACCAGTTCGGTTCTAGGCCCTCCTGCTGTATACACTGATGTGTGGGCTTGGGGAACCGGGGTCTTTCTACGGCAAAAGTCAGAAGGGTGATGGGTGTAAAACTACTGATCTAGCTTCCAGGGCTTTCTCCAGGCAATCGATCTAAGTGATGTGATTGGTTGTTTTATCGAACCAATCAGACTGGCGAGTTTTCACATGCGTTAGCATAACCAATCAGACAAGAGGGGCGGGGACACTTGCTGTATATAAGCTCAGGTCCTGCCCTGTTGCCGGATGTCGCTGTCCTAGAAGGGAAAGACACTTCCTTGGGAGATCTGCAGGAGAGAAGCAGCTGCTACCGAAAGGGAACTACTGGGGTCTCTATTCTAAACCGAAGATGCTACAGACCTCTTGCAGGCGGTGGGCGTGCTATTCTCAGGGCTGACCCCTGGCTCTGCACTCAGGGATCTCGAGACCTGGGTGCTCGGGATTCAGCCCAGGTCTGCCACGTGCAGGGCAAGTACTCCACCCACTGTGCTATCTCTCCAGACCCTGCAACAATACTAACAATAATAGAATATATTTTAAAAATGTGTATCCACGTGAGTTGGAGGGGGTCATTTGACTCCGTCCCCAGGCAAAAATATCCAAGAATGAGGAGGAATTTGCCCAAGGGAGAGGTTTGGTTCTGAGATACTGCAGCAAAAGTGCAGTATTCCAGAGACTTTGTCAACATCTTCAGCATTTAAATTCCTGGATGACCCACGAAACCGGATCCTGACCGTGATCAGCAACGTTGGCGTTTTGGCTCCAACGTGGCTGGACAATGGCTCCAGACTGGCCACCTCCACATCTATCTGGTGACGAAGTGCCAGTTTCCCGCTCACCTCAATCGTTTGCAGACATTGCCTGTCCTGGACTGTGTCTTTCCTGTTCCCACCCGATTTTCCCCTGTGCCCCCACTCCACCATATCCTGGGACCCCTGGGGAGGTTTATTAAGGGGAGAAACTGTGTTAAAGCACCGGAATAAAATGTTAACCCAGCAGCACCCAGCTGGGCTAAATGCTGCTAAGAGACAAACTTCCCGCGCAAAGTCGAAAGTCCACCGCCACCTTCCTACCCATCCGCACCCGACAAAACAGTTTCGAGAGCGAGGGTCCCTAGTCGCGCCCCCTCCCCAAGCCAGTTCCTCGGTACGCGTGGAGGAGGTCCAGGGTCGCGAGCTCAGTTTCTGCATTTGCGGACAGGAGGGCTTCTCTGCACCTACCCGCGAACAGGGCGGAGAGGCCGGCCGGAGGCTTTCTGGGGACAGGGGGGTGGAGCGACGCGTGGGCGTGACGGACACGCCCCCCAGGAGAAGGACCGGGCGGCCGCCCCGGGTCTGGCTCGCGCTTCCCAGCCCGGCTCCCCGGACGGACACACGGCGCGCGGGTTGCGGGGAGCAGCCGGCGGCCGGGCTGGAAGCGCACAGACGCTGGAGCGGAAGGAAAGGGGCGGCACCGGGAGCCCCCGGGAGCGCGCGGCGCCCCCCGCCCCCAGGTAGACGCCGACGCCCCGCGCCGCTCCCGGCCCGTCCTTGGGAGAAAGTGCGGAGCCGGCCCCGAAGCGGCGGGGTCGAGGGACCGAGTGCACGGCAGCGCCCCGCCGGGGAGCCCCGAGACCCGCGGGCATGGAGGGCGCCCCGGGCGACCCGTACCGGCGCCCCGCGCGGCGCACGCAGTGGCTGCTGAGCGCCCTGGCGCACCACTACGGACTGGACCGCGGCGTGGAGAACGAGATCGTGGTGCTGGCCACGGGCCTGGACCAGTACCTGCAGGAGGTCTTCCACCACTTGGACAGCCGCGGCGCCGGCCGCCTGCCCCGCGCCGACTTCCGCGCGCTCTGCGCCGTGCTGGGGCTGCGCGCCGACGGGGCGGCCGCCGGGGACGCGGCCTCTGCCGCGGGGGACGCGGCTCCCGACGGCGACGCGGACGCCGACGAGGAGGCGCGCCTGGCGCTGAGCGCGGAGCCGCCCGAGCTGACCTTCCGCCAGTTCCACGCGCGCCTCTGCGGCTACTTCGGCACCCGCGCCGGGCCCCGGCTGCCCCGCGGCGCGCTCAGCGAGCACATCGAGACGCAGATCCGCCTGCGCCGCCCGCGCCGCCGCCGCCGCCCCGCGCCGCGCCCCGCCGGCCCCGACGGCGGCGCCGACCCCGAGGGCGCGGCGCGGCTGGAGGAGGAGAACTGCAGCCTGCGCGAGCTCGTGGAGGACCTGCGCGCCGCGCTGCAGAGCAGTGACGCGCGCTGCCTGGCGCTGCAGGTGCGCGCCCGATGGGGGTGGGGGCGGCCGGCTTCTGCCGAGCCCCGACTGGGCAGCCCCTCCCCGCTCAGCCTCCCGGCACCCTTTCCCGCTCCCTCGCTCCCTCGCTCCCTTCAGCCCTACCCATTCCCCCCCGCATAGCACTGGCGCTCTGTCTCCAGTCCCGTTCGCCCCCTCTTGGCCCTGCTAACCCTGTCGTCCCTGGCGTGGTCTCACATCCTCTGCTGCAGCCTGGCTCAGGAGCGAGCGGGGGTAGAGAGGAGGAGTGTGGAAGCGGTTTATTCATCCCCGCTGATGGGCCTCCCTCAGGGCTACGCCTGGTGGCCAGATGCTAAATCCGCGGCCCAGACGGCCACCCAGCGCCTGCGGGGGCTGCTCCAGGCGGAAGAACTGGTGCCGGATGCAGCCCACAAACAGCAGCCCCGGGGGGCCTCGAGGAGGGCATATTTTCTGGGCACAGGACTGCCTGGGGGCTGGGGACAAAGGGTTGGGACTTAAAAGTGGTGCAGAGTGAGATGGTGCTGGGATGTCTCTTCTCCAGGTGCCCATCCTGTGGTTTCCATCCAGGCCAGTGGGGTTATCCAGCCAACAAAACTCTCCCCCTTCAGAATAATCCAGGGACCCGAGAGCGGGGAGGGTTGGTGATGGAGGGGCCACCAGCAGAGCTGGGAGGCAAAAAACTGGGAAACCGTTGGTCCAGCATGGAGGGGCTTTGTGCCTTAGTTCCCCTCTGTCCTTAACAAAGGGGATGCGGTGAGCTGCCGCGGCATTCAGATTTTCTCAGCATTAAAGAGTTCAGAGACGGGGCTGGAGCGATAGCACAGCGGGGTAGGGCGTTTGCCTTGCACGCGGCCGACCCGGGTTCAATTCCCAGCATCCCATAGGGTCCCCTGAGCACCGCCAGGGGTAATTCCTGAGCGCAGAGCCAGGAGTGACCCCTGTGCGTTGCCGGGTGTGACCCAAAAAGAGTTCAGAGACGCCGGCTCCCACACTCAGACGCGTGCGCGCGGTGACTGTGCCCCGTGGCTCGGCGTGCGTGCGTGCGTCTGGGCCGCGGGCTCACGGTGCGCTGTCCCTTGTCCCGCAGGTGGGGCTCTGGAAGAGCCAGGCGGGCGCGCACGAAGAGCCGGAGGCGGCGGCGCTGGAGCTGCGGCAGGCGCGGGGCGCCCTGGCCCAGGCCGAGGCCCGCGCCGGGCGGCTGCGGCAGCGCCACACCGAGGTCCGGCGACGCGCCGAGGAGGCCAGGCAGGCCGTGCTGCTGGGCCTGCGCCGGGTGCGCGAGCTCGAGGCACTGGCGCGACAGGTCCCCGAGCTGCAGCGCTGGGGGCGGCAGCTGGAGGGCGAGTTGCGGCACTACAGGTGAGCCAGGGGGGAGGGCCTGGGCCCTCGGGTCAGCTGGGGCGGGGGGGGGGGCTTCCCATCCCTTGCGCCCCCCTCTTTCACGTCGTCTTGGAAGACCTGGACCTGGTCTGTCCGCCTTCTGCTCATTGGTCGGTCTGTTTGTCCTTCTTCCGCTCCGTGGCAGCTCCCCATCCAACACCCGACAGTTCCCAGGTCATTATAATGAATTCTTATTTGTCCTCAAACTGATCAATGCACGGATGATAATGGTCCCAGCTAAGGATCGCCCGTCACTGCCTGGAGGCAGGAACGCTCTGAACTAAGCTCTATTTTGGGGTGGGGGGATGTGGCACCTGTGTTCAGGGCTTCCTCCTGATGGGCGCTAGGGATGGAACCCAGGTCCGTGGCCTGCAAGGCAAGTGCCCGGCCTGCTGTTCTCTCTCCAGCCTTTGAACTAAGTTCTGTTTTGTGGCTTAGCACACCTCGCAGTAGCTCCGTGCCCCAGTTCTCCAGAGGAGGAAACAGGTTCAATGGCCTCATGTGTTGGCTCCACCCTGGAGAGGAAGCTGGCCAAGGGGCCAAGTTCAAATCCTCGCGGAGCTGGTGACAGATGTATGGCCTTGGGCATGTCACTGGCGCACTCCAAGCCCGTTTCCTCTCCAGTGAAAGGAACACAAGTATTGCATGGGGCAGAAAGCACCTCATCAAAAGCCCCATCCGGCCCCGTGCCTGCCCACCCCGCCCTTCCTGGTGCTCGACCAGGTGGGCGCACCAGATTTCACTCTCTTCTGTGCAGCTGTGCTGCCACGGGGAGCAAGACCCGAGAAACCCTGATCAGTCCTTACTATGAATTCTTATTTGTCCCCAAACTGATCAATGCACGGATGATAATGGTCCCGGCTGCACACCCGCAGCAGGCTCGGGAGTGGGCAGAGGGCGGAGGAGCTGGAGCTGAGGGTGTCAAGATGGGCCACAAGGTCTTCAGCCTTCCCTGCAAGGCGCGAGCAGCCGTGCAACAGCTTCAACCTAGGAGGCGTCAGCAGCAGATGCTCATTTGAAAACCATCAGAATCCTGGCCCGTGTCGAGACGGAGTCCCGGGAGGGCGTGGCTCAGACAGGGGGCGGGCCCTGGGGGCGTGGCTTAGGCTTCAGAGGCATCTGATTGGCCCAAGCGGGAGGGCGGGGCCGTCAGAGGGTTGCTTGGAAGCTGGTCCCGCCCCGGTCCCCGCTGGGTCTGGGCCTGCGCGCAGGCGGTGGGGGTCTTTGAGAAGGTCCACTCGGGGCTAGTCCCCGCGGCCCCGATGTTTGGAGAACTACTTCCTGTTTGCATAGCTGGGCGGCCGCGAGTAGCCCCTTTTGGCCGAAGGCCCACGTGCAGCCTTGGAACCTTCTCCAAGAGCAGCAGTGAAGAGACTTGCTTTGTTTGGTCCCAGGGTGAACTGTGCGTTTCGGAGAGACTCCCAGGCACCTGCGGAGTCGCCACTCCGAGAAGATGGCTCTGCTCGGTGGGTTTCCAGCCACAGCGCCGTTTATGCAACCCAAGAGCGTGCCAAGGCCAGGGCAGTTTATCCCCATTTTACAGACTGGAGAAAGGGCGCCCTGAGAAGTATTGCACCCCAAACCACACTCTCTAAACATCCAAGTGCGTTCTTCCTTCCACTTGGCCTTGGAATTCGGGTTACAAGCTGTACCTCCAGTCACCACTACTCCCCACCCCACCCCCTAGCCTCCTGCCGTGTTGATGGTCCTTGTTGAGGCCCCACAGGAACTTGGCCTTTGTATTCAGGGAAATGCCCACCCCCCACTCCTCCATCTCCTTAGCCAGAACAGTGAACATGTATGAGTCTGAGTCAAGCTATGGTGCCCCGCCCTCCCCAACTTGGGGTTACTCTCTGGAAAATGGGCAGCAGATATAGCAAGGAGCTTTTTTTTGCTTTTTTCTTTTTTTTTTTTCTTTGCTTTTTGGGTCACACCTAGTAATGCTCAGGGGTTACTCCTGTCTCTGCACTCAGGAATTACTCCTGGCAGTGCTCAGGGAACCATATGGGATGCTGGGAATCGAACCTGCGTCGTCCGCGTGCAAGGCAAACGCCCTACTCTCTGTGCTATTGCTCCAGCCCGCAAGGAGCTTTGGAGAAGGTGCCTCAGGTGTGAGGAACTAGGAGCCGGGAGAGTGAGTGTATGAGAAGCTCTGTGGAGATGAGCCGCGGCTCCAGCTCCTTTCCATGATGGCTCCTAGGTCTGGGCAGTCAGCAGGGACAGTGTATGCCTCTGGGGTAGAGCTCATGCTTTGCATGGGATACCCATCCTGGCATGATTGAGCATATGGGTGTCGTGGGGAGGGCCTGGAACCGTTGATACTGGTGGTGATGGTTGAGTGTAGACCCCCCATGCATCCCCAGCACTTGCAACCACCCATAGTCAAGAGCCTGGGAAGGTGGGGGTGGGTTGGAAAGGTAGTAGGGCGCATGCCTTGCATATAGCCAACCTGGTTTGATCCCCAGCACACCATATGAGGTTCCCCAAGCCCTCCAGCAGTGATCCTGATCACTGCTGGATGAACCCACCCACACCCCCCCCCACACACACACATAAAAAATAGGGCCCGGAAGGTGCCTTCCCCAAGAAATAGATGTCATCAGAGCCTGCAGGTGGCCCCGTAATGCTCCCTCCTAATGGGGAGAAAGGTCTGGGTCACATTGAGCAGCTCCGGACACTTACTGAGTGCCAGCTGTGTGCCAGCCCGAGGCTGGGCCCTGTGAGCTCGTGGAACCCTGCACTGTATTTGCCTGCACTTGGTCTCTGAGAAGCCAAGAGCACAGGGCACAGGGCATAGGGACACAGGAGTCACACCCGGCGAGGCCAGGCTGGTTTGGAGGTGCCTCTGTCTTTCAGGGATTCTGGAAATGTCTGCAGGCGGCATGATAGCCAAGAGGGATGGGTGAAAGTATCTCCTCTGCTTTTGCAAAGCAAGTGCTGGGAGCTCGGGGGATGGCCCCGTGTGTGGGGGTGGGGTCCCCTGGGCCTGCAGACTGGAGGAGACTGGGGAAGGGCCCCACCCCCAGACCAGAACCCCCATATGCCACTTAAGTGGCCTCACTGTGGAATGTCTCCAGGTGGTCTGCAGATGTGTTGAAGTGTTGGGGGCAGGGAGGGGGGAGGGCAAAGTGCAGTGAAAGTGGAAGGTGGGAGAGGAGGAAGAGAAGAGAAGGAAGAGGAGGAGAAAGAGAAGGAGGAGGAGGAAGAGGAGAAAGAAGAAGAGGAGAAGGAGCAGGAATAATCGAATGCTAGGAGATACCACTTAAAGCCACTCTCTTAGAATGAATCGCCCAATTGCCCATTCCCGACACTCCTTAAAGTGTTTTCTCAGACACTGATCACCTGTGTTTTTTTGTTTTTTGCTTTTTGGGTCACACCCGGCAAATGCACAGGGGTTCCTCCTGGCCCTGCACTCAGGAATTACTCCTGGCGGTGCTCGGGGTGCCATATGGGATGCTGGGAATCGAACCCGGGTTGGCTGCGTGCAAGGCAAACGCCTTACCCGCTGTGCTATTGCTCCAAGCCCGTGACCACCTGTTTTCAGCAACATGCAGGTTGGCCACGGTTTCTCCCCAGGGAAGCAGACTACTGGGGTTGGCTACTGTCACAAGGTCAATCCCCCTAACTCCCCCCAATCGACCCCCCCATGTAGGGCTCGGCTGAGCTCCCCTCTCCTGGCTCCGCCATCTCCTTCAAACCACCTTTCAGCAGCCCCATGTCCCGTGGCTGGGTGGGCGCTGCGTTCCCTCCCACACCTGCCTCTGGTTGTCCTGCCCAGTGCTCAAGCGAAGCAGGTTCTCTCTCTGGGACCTGAAGACTGTAACATTTCCGCACCCAGGATCCAGGGATCTCGGGGGGTGGGGGAGAGACGTCAGTTTCTCTGGGGTTCCACCTCTGCCTTTTCTGCTGCGATGCCAGTTTCCAGGTTTGCCTGGGGAGTTGGGACTGCGAACCCCAGATCCCGGGGAGCTGCCCGACCCTGCAGTTGTAGGGCTCCCTTAGGAGAGGTCTTCCGTCTGCTTCCACCAGGGCCTGGCTCCAGGTTGGGGCAGGGGAGCTTCCAGGTGGTGCTGGGGGTCCGAGACCAGCTGGCCGGCCCATTCGATGCAAGGCCCCAGTGGAACTGGGTCTCAGAGACTGTCCCCAGGGTTGCGGGAACCATGCAACGCTCAAAGCCTGTGCCTCAAGCTCATTCCCCAGTCCCTTAGTTAGTGCTCACTGCCTTGATGGTTTATGAGCTGCTTCTGGTGGTGCTCCTTATTTAGTGCTCACTGGCTTGACGGTTTATGAACTGCTTCCGGTGGTGCTCCTTAGTTAGTGCTCACTGGCTTGACGGTTTATGAACTGCTTCCGGTGGTGCTCCTTAGTTAGTGCTCACTGTCTTGACGGTTTATGAACTGCTTCCGGTGGTGCTCCTTAGTTAGTGCTCACTGCCTTGATGGTTTATGAACTGCTTCCGGTGGTGCTCCTTAGTTAGTGCTCACTGCTTTGATGGTTTATAAACTGCTTCTGGTGATACTCCTTAGTGCTCACTGCCTTGATGGTTTATGGACTGCTTCCAGTGGTGCTCCTTAGTTAGTGCTCACTGCCTTGATGGTTTATGAGCTGCTTCCGGTGGTGCTGTGTGGTGCCAGGGCTCATGCCCAGGGATCCCACATATGAAACCTACACGCATTCCTTCAAAGCATCTTGGTTGCTTTTGGTGCTGAGTTTTCTGTTGGTTTGGTTTGGGCTTTAGGGCCACAGTCAGGGGCTCAGGGGTGCTTGGCGGCTATGCCCTGTGGGCGTCTCTCTGGCCTCTGGGTCTGTGGGGAGCCTGTTCCTCAGTGGGAAGGGCCCCGTGCACAGGAAGCGCAGCACAGATGCGGCCACCTGGGGCTTCTCTCGCCTGAGTTCACAGACGGGGCAGCCTGGACAGTCCTGGATGCCTCTTGCAGGCTCCTGTTGCTGCCCTCACTGTGCTGACCCCCGTGGCCTGA